GCTTCGAAACAAGGTCAGAGAATTTGCATTTGGGGCTAACAAACAAGGATCTAGTTCAATTTTGCAAAGCGGCTCCATGTGGAAGCGAGTGTGTTTTTCTACATGTTTGTGACTTTCTGTGCGATTGTTTGCGTCGCTCCTCCATGTGCCCGTTGCTGCGCATGCATTTCTGTACAAGTTTTTATTGCATTTCTGTATGGGTGCATCTGTGTGTGTATGTGTGTGTCGAGGTGCGCGCATGTGGGGAAAAGTTGCTGAATAGGTGTTATCAGGATGCAATACTAAACGTGGCGGAGAGCCATAAATAATGCAGTGACCTGTCTCATATCCCTGCTTGACTGCTTAGCACCGTTTAGCGCTGCTTATCCTGCATGTGTGTGTGTGTGTGTGCGTGTGTGTGTGTGTGTGTGTGTGTGTGTGGTCTAAATTCATTGATATCTAAGCCAGAGAGGGATAAGCGATGTTCAGCGGTTTGTGTTTGTGCTTTTGTTGTGAATATGTGGTCTAAATACAACCTCTGCCTCAAGATCACACATGCTGATGTGGTTGAGAGAGAAGTCCCCTTGTGTGAAGTCTGGGGTCAATAGCAGGGAAGTGTTTCCTCTGAGTGACGGACAAACACACACAGGGAAAACGGGTGATGTCTTGATGTGGTACTTATGTTTCAACTTATACTGAGGCTTTTCTTATAGAAATACCAGCTCACCACAGATGATTCAAGCAGAGTCAGGACTGTAACTGTAACCAGGGACCCTGGCTGTGTTTGAATAGTGTAGTTCAATAGTTTTGACGTACTTGTTCTTAACTTGAGTTATTTCATCTTGTGTTATTCATACCTCTGCTCCACTAAATTTGAGAGGGAAATGTTGTGCTTTTTACTCCACTAGAGATGTTAGATATGCTCTATATGGTTATTTTTTTTAGAAGAGTTTATGAAATATAGTTACATTGTTTCCGATATCCTGTATATAGAGTAGGTGATAGTAGTTTCCCTTCACTCGCCATGTACACATGTTAGAAAAATCCAATCATATCTAATAATATAACTGAGAAGGCTCTCCCTCATACTTACAGCACTTTTTGCTGATAAAAGTTTTTGAATGTAGAACTTTTAGCTGTAACGGTGTATTTTTACCAGGTGGGCTGCCACCTATGCAGCCGGTTGAAGGAAGATTGGGCGTGATACGGCAAAACTAAAAGAATGATTCAGATTAAACTACAACTTAGATCCAATTTTTAGCAGCCACGACAGCAGGGCTGGTATTGTTCTCTTAGTTTTTTTGTTGAGATCAGAATGAAGGCCTTCGAAGATGGGTGTGGGCCGACCCATGAGTGCTGAGTATTCCTGTAATAATGTAGTAATAACTGTTGAGCGGGTCAGAATGTCAACATGTGTCAGGGATGGTGTGACCCCATTGCAACAAGGTCTCTAGCTGTAGCTTTTGCCATGAGTTTTACAGGTTGTTTTTTGACATTTTTACTCGCAGCAGGTTTGTTGAGACCTGGGTTCAGTGCAACCTTGCTAAAAAGACGTCCAGTGGGGCAAATTATCCTTAAAGGCTAAAAGTAACTGCGATGCTTTTCTTTCTCTCCTCCTTCCTCTTTTCTCAACCCTGCAATTTTTTTTAATGCCTCAGATCTCTTCTGTTCTTTCCTTTTTTTTCACTGTTTGACACTTACACACACACACACACTCACTCTCTCTCTCTCTCTCTCTCTCTCTCTCTCTCTCTCTCTGTCTCTCACTTTTACCTGTTTGATAATTCTTGACATGAATTCAGGCTTTTTCCCAACTCAGCATCTTCTTTGTTCAGACCCCCCCCCCCCGCACACGCACACACACACACACACACACATGCATTGCACTTTCTTCCCAACATGCAGGTCAGGGTGCAGAACTGTGGAATACAAATTAGCATTGCTATATATTCCCTTTTTGGAGGTTGCGTTTACACAGTTTCTTGGATTTAGAGATGCAGAGAGCAGTTAGCTGTCCCGCCCCAAAATAAAAATGTTTCCCTCCCCCTGCATATCGGTTTATCACTGCAGGAACTCTGAGTTGTAATGATTGATGAGCTCCACCACAGCATCATATATCTACTGTATTTGAGTGCATGCATGCACCAAATTGTGTCACCTTCTGCCCTGTTTGAACGTGATAATCGCTGACTGATTTTGTGTATGTGTGTGCGTGTTGAGATTAATAGGCCCTTAAAGCAGAGCAGACACAATACTTTACACACACACAGCATCTGCCTCTCTATCACACCGGCCTTATTCATCAGACACTCGGAGGTGCTGTCTTTATCGGCTACATGCCAGAGGTGAGGAGGAGGAGGAGGAGGAGGAGGAGGCAAAGAGGGTAGTCTGAAAAAAATGAAAGAGTGAGTGGAGTCAGTTCTGAGCAGAAGCAAAGTAAAGAGTGAAGTAGTCTTCTCTAAAAAAAAAAAAGAATAAACCTTCACTGCCTCTCATATGGGGACTGAATGTAATGAAAACACGTTTTTACTCTTGCATTTTAAAACCATGCCCAGTAACAACTAAGTATGCATTATGAGTCCCAAGCAACAGTTTATTAATCAGTTCGATTTACCAACTATCTTAGATTTTTCTCCTCTTGCACTGCCTCTCTGCATATCCCAGATTTTTTTGGTTGGATACAGTTATCTAAGCGGTGTGCTAAAAGTGGTGTTTGGCCGATGCTGCTGTGAGATTCCAGAGTGGTTAAGCACTAATCCAGGTGGTGCTGAGATGAAATGCGCCTGGCCGGGTTACATAGGCCTTGTAACTCTATTCCTGTATTACTGTATGTCACCAAGGAGATTGGAAACAGATAGGAGGCGATAGACAGGACTCGTTGGCTCACAGCATGAGGAAGAGACAGACAGAGGTAGAGAGATAGAGAGAGATAGAGGGGGATGATCACTAATTGTTTGCAGACAGTGTGAGGTAGACACCAGATATAGCTGCCAAAGTGTCAATCATGTTGTGCGCTGTGTGCTGAGTGCTGAGATCTGACCTCCACTTTCATCTTCCCTTGCTGGTTCTTGGGTGTATGAGTGTACATCCATGTGCGGCATATTTGCTGCCACGACAAAAGTAAAAAAAAAAAAAAAAGCTAGATTTTCACTGTGCATGTTTGTTTGACCCTCTCCTTTAATTTGTTTTGAAGATGGCGTCTGAAAAAGTGTTTATACTGTTTGTTTGTGTGTGTGTGTGTGTGTGTGTGTGTGTGTGTGTGTGTGTGTGTGTTAATGTTTGCATGTCTAACTCCTCTCGGAGTAGGTTTACAGTCTATTAATAGCATTAAAACATGTTGTATTCTGCTGAGTAGTTTGACTTGGCTATGTCATCCCACTCAGCACAGTGGCAATAAATAATGGATACAGTTTGTTTTTTTTATCAGATAGGTGTTTGAAGCATCTTGAGTCTCAGCAATACAGACTGTAATGGATTGATTATGACTTTGTTTTCTTACAGGAAATTATTTTAGTGCCCACTGGCCAAACCCTTACCAGCAAGCAGCAGACAATCACAGATGCTGTTTTTGTAGAATAAACTGGTCCATCGTGGACGTCATTTTGCTCAAAATACTTGTTGGAAATTCATCCAAATGTACTGCGCAATCACTGTTTAGTGCAGAAATATCCCCTGGGTAAAGTAGTTCTTTCAAAAGTAATAGTCCACTTTACAAACACTTCAGATACGTACTTGTGTGCAAGCGCTAAAAAACTTTACATCCTATATGTAACGCTTGATGACAATTAGATTGTATTGGTGGAGTGTTATTTGGGGGATGTTAAATGAGCAAACTAGAAACCGTTCCTGAGTCTCTTCCGACAGATAGTGGCTCAGACTGAGCTGTTACACTGGAAGTGCTTAGCTTTAACAAAGACATCTCTCATCATGTATCCACCCAAATGGTTTAAGTTAAGTTTTGTGGCTCTTAAACAATGAAGAAGTTCAGCTCATAAGACATAAGTCTGCATAGTCAATCAAACAGGCCAGCCAGCATGGTGCACAATAGCTGCCATAGATGTCCTTACAATAGACTTGTATGTGTTATGTCGTTGGGTGTCATAGATATGAGTTACCCATCTATGTCAGGCTACATCTGCAGCAATGAATGAGCGGCATTGTTTATGACATGACACAGACATATGACTGCTGACAAGTGGATCCGCTCTGTGACAGTAACTGTGGCATCTGGAGGCCTGTGTGTCTGTGTCTGTGTCTGTGTGTGTGTGTGTGTGTCACTCTTGGGTCAGAATGGAGTCTTTACACGTCATGATGATCCATTGACCTTGACTCTGCATACACAGAGACAGACAGACAGACGCACACACACACACACACACACACACTTCTTTGTTTCTCATATCCTGTCTCTGCAAACATAACTCTTATCGGGTTTGCCCCCTCTCCCACTGTCAAATCATGCTTGATGAACAAATATGTTAAATTTATGTTTATGTTAAATAAATATAAATGAGTTCATACAGGGTGTTGACATATTCCTGGGTTAGTCTTGATAAACAAAATTGACCCTGATGGGACTCCAAACTTATATCTGCTGTTGTGAAGCAGGGGAGGTTATTATAGTTCCATATTGTTATTGTCGCCTTATCTGATCAGTCTTTTCTAATTTTATTCTGCAATAAAGTTTCCTCATTTCTTTCCCTTTCCTTTCCTTTAACCTCTGCCCTCTGATTTTCCCGTCTTTTCCTGTCTTAGTTGTCTTTATCACACTGGAAACACTAATCAATGACCTTATTCAGCTCCTGAACCTGTGTAAAATGGAAAAATATTAAGCAATTTTATCTCAATTCAAACACTTTCAGGACTTGAAAGATTTCCATATATTACACAAGGCGATGTAATGGACCAAAGTCAGGGAAAATAAACATGTTTCTGCTTCCACTTGACTTTTCAGACTTATATACATATATACATGATTTCACTTTCTAATCCTGCCTCTGTCTCTCTCTCTCCTCGTCCAGCGTCTGAGCCATGCGGTGGCTATTTAGATGCGAGCGATGCCGGATACATCACCACACCTGGCTACCCGCTTGAGTACCCACCTCACCAGAACTGCCGCTGGGTCATCACAGCCCCTGAGCCCTCGCAACGCATAGTCCTCAACTTCAACCCGCACTTTGAGATAGAGAAGCTGGACTGCAGGTAAGGACAGGGCGTATAAACTAATACATTTTAAAGACGTGGGGTGGAATGGAATACAAAGGGCTTTAGAGAAAAAGAGTGAAGGAAAAGATGTAAAGATTTAAAGTTGCTGGAGAAGTTAGAATGCAACAAAAGAAATGGGAGACACTTCTTTTACTTCTCCACCAGCATGTCTCTGTGTGAGAGTTTAGTTGGTGAACTTCAGCCCACTCTCCTCCTGTTTCTCTGGCTTTAGCTATCCCATAATAATCACTTTGGGACCTCCCTTGGTCCCTTGTCTCTAATTATCAAAGTCTAATTACAACACATTTACTGTTCCGGGATGGTTTTCACACTTCGAATGAATTAACACAGATTAGAGGATTTGGTGTCCAGCATTGTTTTTGGCTGTTTGGCTTTGTTGCATGTTGAGACTGAGAGACAGGCAGGCAGTTAGGACGCATGAAATAAAAATATAGCAAGCAGAGATAAAAGCGGACAGGAAAAGAAGTAGGCATGCTGGGAAATGATGGAAAAACGCTGGCAGAGAGCGGTTGAGATGCAAACAGATATTTAGGGTTGCGCAGGGAAAGATAGAGAAGACGTCATAAAGTTTAAAACAACATAAATTGTAATAATAGTAAAATCGATTTTTTTCAGCACCAGTGAAAACAAGATGCTTTGAGGAGGAATTTGAAGGAATATTAAAACATTAAAATCGAATTGAAGTGAAATTGAATTATTTCTAGGGACCAATTTCACATATCTCTTAGGAACAGCGTGTTTAATGGTTTCTGGCCCAAATACCATAAGAAAGTCAAGGAAAAACATCCCCTATAAACACAGACCCACAGGCTGTGAGTGGAACAATTTATTCTGAAAGCACAGAGGAAAAACATTTTTTCATTTTGAAAACACTTGGAAAGATGCTGAGATGAGGCAGCTACTAGTGATCTAATCGAAATCACATACACAAAATGCATAAACTTAAAAATGCTTTTTCAAAAACAGTAACTCCTGAAGTCCTCTGTCATTTGCCTGTAAATGAAACTACTGACTTTCCTTTGACATGTTCTGTGAATCCATCCCACACGTAGGAGCAGAAAACCCTGTCCCTCAGGAATCTAATGGGCACTGTGAGCGTACGGGGCTACAGATACAAACCCACTGGCACAGTCGGGAGCTCAGACAAATAGACGAACACACTCATACAAGCACACACACTTACACTTTTCCCCCCTCTCTCTCCTCCGTTATATGCCTCTGTTCCGGTGCTTTCCCATCCAGTTATTAACATTTCAGCCATATCAATTATAGATAGGTGAATTTCCCCACTCTGATGTACCAAAATCATTCAGACATTTCTTTGTTGGAATTGAAGCATCAATATTTCACTGGCTGGCTGTTTGTTGAAAGGCTAAAAAGGTTGAGAAGGCCCGCTGTGCTCTGCTCTGTTTTCCTTTACTTGTCCACTGTGCTGTGGAGATAAAAACATACTTCTCTTTCTGTCTCCCTGCCTTCGTCATTTTTTTTTTTTTTACTTCCACGCTGCACTTCTTATCTTCGGATAAGTTTGATGCATGAGATGCTCTCTCTTCCTCTTCCTCCCTCTCTTGTTCATGCTCTGTTTTTCCCTCTGCCCCAACCTTGTTTCTCCCTCCTTGCCCTTCTTTCCTATTTCTCTTTGAATTTTTTACATGCATTTAAAGCCCAGCAGGTTCCCAGGGGCAGAGAGTCTGGTTGAACCTCTACAAACAACAGGCTCTGATTTATTAATTATACATACAGAGCATGTGTGTATTTGTAGTTGTTGTATATTGTAACACTTATGGTCTGAACAGTTTCTTCTGTTCAGTTTCTCTTCCAGAAAAGACATTTTTTGAAAAGTGATTCTCCAAACCACGGCAGTAGGACTGAGATGTTTGCAGTGTTGGTGGCAACATCTCCGGCCTAATAGTCTGTTATTTACAAGTGTCCTACAGCGCAGAGCTATTTAGATCTGCAGGCGCCCAACACCCTGAGTGTGTGTGTCTACGTATGTGTGTGTGCAGGGGTAGGCTGAAATTGAGCTGTTAAGTTCAGAGGGCAAAGAGGCCAAGCAGAAGAAGCTGAGTGTCTGTGGGGGGCAGACATATGTGGTCACCCTGTGATTGTCATCAACAACCCTGACAGACACACACACACACACACACACACACACACACACATACCAGCGTCTCCGTCTCTGGCTCTCTCTCCCTCTGTCTGTCTCTAATTGCTAAATTTAATAATATTCTTGAATCATCTGATGTATGTAATATGGTCATTAGAGTGTTTGTCTATATGTTTGTGTAGATTAAGAGCAGTTTTCTGTTTCCTGAAGCTGTAATGTTCAGTTTATTGAGAGGAGAATACACACACACACACACACACACACACACACACATCTTGCTGAGACAGAGGAGTCATCCACTTTTCTCGACAAAGATTACATCGTGAATAGGGAATATGGTTCCTATTTGTTGCATTTGATTCTCACATAAGCATGATCACGATCAACACACACACTCGCACAGATGAATCACCATGCCCCGGTCAGACGAGGGTTGTTTTATTAGGTCACTATGTTGAAGCAATCTAATCCATTATGGTCTTGATTGGAATTTTAAGATGGTAATGTGTAATCTATAATGCATCACATTTTGTCAAACACTCCTCTGGATCTGCGGGCAAAATCGATGGAGAGGTGGTCAGAGAGAGAGATGTTTTCATTAACATTCATACACAGTGGCTGTTTAAGTGCAGGGAGACAGCTGGAGGGAGAGATAGAGAGACCAACAGCGAGAATGATGAACAAAAAAAAAACTTGTGCCCCTGAGTAAATGAGCATTGCTATGGTTTGTCATTACTCACCATGACTTCCCCTTTCCCATCACATGACGGACAACACAGTACACCATTGGTCTGTTACTTGTGACAGGATTCAGTTATTATCCGACAGCTATATCTATTATTTTTTTATGTATTTCTTATAAAAGACTGAACAGATCAAAACCACATGACGGACGGGTGCACAGACAGAGGAGACTCTGTTTGGATATGATGGGTGTGTGTCTGTGCATTGTGTGGCAGTTCATGACCATAATCATTTTTTTCCATCCACTTTATGAAAGATATTTTATATACAGTAACTGTTATAGGAGTTGTTTGTAAGTTTTTTCTATTGCCACATAGCCAACATGAGTTCAGCATCAAACTTCACTCCTTTACTCGCCAAGAGCTGTCGCCAGCGATGGAAAGTAACCCTCTTGTTTTGCTTCTATTTCTATCATTTCATCTACTGTAGTTAGCATGCTAACCAGCTAGCCCTGGCCCCGTCGGACTGTCTTGTCACTTTCTGATACCGAGTCACTGTAGTCGTTCAGTCTGGCCTGAAGAAGCGGCGCTGCTCAGAGGACGTATTATAACCTCTTGTCTTGTAAACGCAAGAGGTGAAGTTGCTGAAGCTCTTACCAAGACTGGTAAGTAAACAGCTGTTAATGCTAAAGCGAAACTTATGGTTGCTCCATTAAAGAATTTCATTCTGTATTAATCTGAGGGATCCGTATGTTTGGTGTCACTTTTAGTCAGCACACCTGAGCCTTCAACTACAACTTCTATCTGGGGAAACAAAAAGAGCTCAGTGACACTGTTGAAGCTTCATATGAGCCTCAACTGAACTTTGCAGGGTATTTTTGCACAGAATGAAGGCTGTATATGTCTTTAGGGGAATAGATTGACATTTTGAGAAACAATGTTTATTTGCTCTTTCACTGAGAGTTATGCAGTTCCAGTGAAGAGATGGTTAGCTTAGTTTATAATACTGGAACCAGGTTGGCTGGTGGCCAAGAAATAGTCTGATACATAACTCACAGTATAACAACGACTCTTCAGGTTTTTTTTTTTTTTGGTGTTTCTATCTATTTCTCGTCTTTATGCTAAACTAAGCTAACAGTCTACTTGCTGTGGCTTCATATTTACTACAGACATGAGAGCAGTAATGTTCTCTCTGCAAGAAAACAAATGAACGTATTTCCCAAAATGTCAAACTATTGCTTTAACCCTGCAAATCAATCATAAGACATTCAAATTTTAAGTCTCTACACAGTCCAGTCCTCTCACAGTGTTTTTACAATACTTTAGTATTATTAGTGTGTATTCACAGAAGAATTAACACAGATTAGAGTTTTTGGTGTCCAGCATTGTTTTTGGCTGTTTGGCTGTGTTGCATGTTGAGACTGAGAGACAGGCAGGCAGTTAGGAAGCATGAAATAAAAATATAGCAAGCAGAGATAAAAGCAAACAGGAAAAGAAGTGAGGTGAAGTTGCTCTCTTGACTGATATTAGTCTTTATAATGTACAGTCATGTCATAGAAAGTGGTATTAAATTCTTCATTTGACAACTTCTAATACAGTGAAAGTCAAATCTACAGAATAGTGTTTTACAGTGTATGTAGCCTTTTGAGGCAGCGGTTGGTTGTCTACTTCACATTTTCCTCTTAGCTCACTGCCCTACTCTGTCTCTGAAAGCAAGATCTCTATTTGGAGTGTCTGGAAAGAGCGCGTGTGCGCACGCGCACACACACAACCAAACACACACACACACACACGGTTGCTTAGGGAAAAGTGCAGCGTCAGGGTCCGCTGAGGGCAGGCTCAAATCATCCTGACAGCTACCTCCTCACTCTATCCTCTCCTCTTTCCTCCTGGCTCTCTCCCTCCTCCTCACCCTCTCTCCCTTTCATTCATCTCACCCTTCCTCACCCCTCCCACCCCCTCACCACTGCCCAATGGACCGCATCTATCATCTTTCATCTACTCTTGCACCTTCCCCTGTCCCAACCTCTGTTCTCTCCTCCTCCCTCCATGCCTCCTTCTTCACCACATCTCCTCTCCTTCTGTCCTCCTCTTATTCCATCTCCTTTCTCTGCTTCCATCTCATATCTCTGCTCCTTCCCTTTCCTTTCCTCCTTCTCCCTTTCTCACCCACTTCCTTCTGCAGT